TCCCTCATTGAAGAGGGTGCAGTATTTGCCTTTCTCTGGGACTTTCCAACTCAGCTCATGAGTTTTGCCGTAGAATATGTGGCTCTCTGTCCTTCCACTTGGAGAGTCTGGTGCTGCCAGTGGTGCTAGCTTGATTCAGTCGGGCATTCTCAAGGGAATTTGTTTAACATCAGAAAATGCTGATTTGTTGAAACCAGATGTTTGTTGGAATGCGGCAATTTTGATAGCCCCTTTTGTCAGGAAAGGTTTATTGGATCCAGAAAGGTGAGAACCTGAAATAGACAGTTGACTGAGATTAGTCACCTTAGTCTGATTCAAGCAGAGCAGAGACTTAAAGCTGAGTCTCCAACATCCCAGGCCATAACTGTTGGTTATTGGCTGTTCTTGAGGCAGTCAGGAGAGCTCAGACCATTTTCATGAAATGCCTGATGGTAGGGCATCTACTTAATTTGTAGTTTCACGGTTTTTGTGGAAACCACAAAAAACAGCATTGTCCGTGATTGCCAGAAAATATTGCACTGGTCATGATTTCGTACAAAATCAATCTAAAAGAAAACCCAGCACATTATTCATATAACATGTGTGTGTGTATGTAATATAACATATACTATATCATTCCTTATAACTCATTCACATAATTATTCATACACATTATTAATGTAATACACTGTTTTAGAATGTCCCAATGCTTACCACAATACAAAGATAATGTGACGATCACTGTAGCCATAGATCACATGATTGAGAGTTACTGTCTGTTAGTGACATAGACTAAGTGAAGGCACGAGTCAGTGAAGTGAAAATGTTTTAGCGCCATCTTTTAAGAAGTTAAATGCAATGCTGCAGTCTGAAGATGAGTGAAAAGAAATTAAAAAAAAAAAAAGCTAAATACATTTCAGCTCAGGATTGTGTAATGTCATTCCTTGCAGGAACTTTACATTCAGAAGGTGATAAATTGATAAATGTGACTCTTGATATATCAAGGAAAAACAGCATTGATAGCCACTTACAGTCCAAATTTCACGTAAAATGAAAGGCTTCTGCAGAGGCTGAAGATCGGAACAAAAAACAAATGATAATGTCCTCGGTGTTTAAAAGGACCACTGAAAGCAGTTTAACAAGAAATGCTCATGGAAGCATTCACTGCTGCCAGCATACCTTTGGAAAACATTGATAATCCAAAACTAAGGGAGTACTTCAACAAGCACGTGCCCAATGCTGGCAGCTTCCCATGTGCAAATAAACTTCACCAGGATTATCTACCAGGGGTATTGGCTTGCATGTTCAGTCTACAAAATCTGCATTGACAGAATATGAATCAATTTTGATTGTAGCAGACAAAGCAACAGATGCACAGGATAACTGTGTACTCCACATTTTATTTGTACCTGGGAGCTAGAAAGGCCACAGTGACCCACCTGTTTTTTCAAACAGAGTTCAACTCGGGTCAGTAAATTTTGCAAGTGAAGCACAAGCTGTTGTGAAGGTTGTTGTAAGCTATGGTTTATAGTTTAACAAGATCTCAGCATTTGTCTGATAATGCAACATACATGTGTAAAGCCTTCTTCGACATGCTCCATGGAATGATCCCCAATGCAATTCACGTTACCTGCAATGCACACACTTTTCCTTTCTTTAGTAAATAATATCTACACCTTCCTGATCTGAATAGACTGGTTTCCTCCTTTAAAGAAAATGTTCAAACATTGTCCAGGCCATAACCTTTGATACAGGGAGTCCATTGCCAATCAAAGCAGGGAGTCCATTGCCAATCATGCAACTATGCTGCTTCCACCAGAACCAGTGCTTATAAGGTGGAATTTGTGGTTTAATGCAGTTTCTTAACATGCCAAAAATATTAAGTACCACCAACAATTTGTGTGAGAAGAGCTTGAATCACATCCAGCACAGAGTGCACTCTTCAACTACGCAATCTCTTTAAAACAGGGTGACATTGAAGATTTAAATTAAATTTGTGGCTGAAAACGCGATCTGGTTCTTAGAGCTTCTAACGTGGTTTGAAAGGCAGCAGGTTTTCATTCGCCAAGCACGCAACAAGCTGATGGATTTGATAAGTTGGGTTGAAGATGTGGCATCACAACTTTCAGATTGTCAAACTGAAAACCAGCGCAGAGAAGAACTGTTCCAGTTAATAGTTGCAAAGTTAAATCAGTACTGCAGGTACGTTCAGTCATTACCACTGAGATTTAAACAACAAGCTGCCTACTTTTTTTAGTGCTTTTCCCATTTTTGACACAGATTATGCATCTTTTGGAGTTTTGATCCTCATCTAATTAAATCAATCCTTGGATGGCAGAAAGAGCATGACAATGAACGTGGTGCTTACATGAAGTTTGTCAAAGAATGCCAGATATCTTTGAATATAACTTAGTTGTGGAATTCTGTTTCTGATTGGTTTCCACATCTCTACAACTTGGCAAAACATTGCCTTTCAATACCAACCAATTCAGTAGATGCAGAACGTGCGATCTTGGTTTTCATACCACAGAGACAGAATATGTCAGCTACAAGTGCCTGTGGATGCTGCATGCTAGTAAACAACTAAAATGAATTGTTTCTGTTAAAGTTGGCATGGATTAGTATTCTAAACTTTTCGTAGAATGCTACATATAAAAAATAAGTTACAATTCATTTGTTATATATATTTATATTATAATAAATTAAAATCTAAAATTAAATATATTTTTAGGTTTTTTTTAATAATATAAATTATATTATTTAATTTCAGCAGAATTTGCTTTTAAATTATATTGTATATGCCTCTCTGCCAGTCAGCAGCAAGGGGTGGGGCTGCTGGGAAATGTCCCCGAAATCAGCTCTTTGTGGTGCAACCAAGCCACAAAAATTGGTTGGTTTTCCCGTGAGTTAAATAGACCCCTACTGATGAGTGGTATATTCCTGATGAATGAAGGAAAATTTTTTCAAATTATTATTATTTTTTGGATGGGGAAAACCACTTCCCCTCTGGCTTTAGTGTTCACATTGTATAAACCTTGCAGTTGAAAGCAGAAGGATCAGTCTATCTGGCCCCTGGGTGAGTATACACAAAATGTAGGAGTGCTCTTGTGGGAAGGGGTCTCCCCTCATACAGCCACTGGCTTGGGCACAACTTCCCCTCTGTTCTTTAGTTAAGGAAATAATCTGCATTTTGTACAATCTTTCTGAGAGTTAGATTTAACAATTTATTTTAAAAAGGTGAACAAAACGCAATGAAATACTTTACATTCTTGATCATTATCTACAGCCGTAAACTAGAGACTCTGTGTGGGAACTGTGGATAGGTTAGTTCATGACTTGGGTCAGCAGGGAAAAAAAAAAAAAGGAACTATGGGGGGAACTTCAGCTGAAAATTGTCTCGACTAATCCTAGTCACATGCGCTTAATTGCATATTTATACAGTAGTAGATTTAGCTGCAGCATTTAGCAAGGGCTTCACACACTGTGCTAACACAATTTTGTTTAAATTGCACATGCCAAGTCATTGAAAGTCAAGGCTCACTGGTTTGTAATCTTCTTTCTTTCTTTTTTCCTGTACACAGGAAGGTAACATTAATGGCTCTTTCTTAATGCTTTTCTGTTTGCTGGAAGTTTTATAAAGTTTAATAATCCCTATTTACTAGATAAAAATTACTGAACATGATTTTCTTCAGTGATATGTAATGAAACTGTTTTAAAGTGTGTATGTTTTGTAGAGCACAGTGAACGTTTTAGAGGTGTAAAGAGAGGAAGGATGATCTTCAATTAAGGCGCTAGATTTCTATGCAATGGATCTAGACTCTACTGAAGGCTTTTGTGGGTCCTTTAACAAATTGCTTTATCATTCAGTGACTCAGCTCTCATCTGTGAAATGAGACACTTTCCCTGCTTCTCACAGCGTTGACACTTACTATACTGCTGAAAAGCATACAAGTACCTGCATTGACTAGTCAATGTACATGCACGTTAAAGTGCATGACATGTCCAAGTAGCCTCTCTTTGAAGAGCATTTACTGTTAACAATTACATATATTCTGTATCCAATTCATAGTCTTGAAAATATCTTTTCCTCTTGGAATATTGTACACTGATGGTGCAAAAATGCAATGAAATGAATGTTTTGGGGGCGTCTAAAGATATTGTGTATTGCAAATGAGGGGTTAGTAAAATTAAGGGAAATGGGTCACTCAATTTTTAAGCATAGAGCTGTTGAATAACATCTGAACCTCTGCATGGTTCTCAAACTAATTTCAAATGGTTGCTTCCTAATAAATAAATATAATGCATAACCTTTAAAAACTGGAAAAATAGACTTTGGAAGGTGGATTCTGACTGAAGTTATGCATATTGTTGCCTGTGCATGTGATCTCAAGTGTGTGGCATTAAAATCTGGTTTTACGGGTCCATTTCACTGCCTTTGTTGCAAACTTTATTACTTTTTTGCCAGGTTTGCTTGGCACAGTGTTTACAGAGATGTGGTCCATACCTCAAGGAGCCTTGGAATAACAAAGATAGTGCTTAAAATTAATGTTATCCTTCTAAGCGTGTCCTCAGGCTAAAAATTGTTGACACTGGTTCAGTACTTTGTAGGCTATTCTGTATTTAAATAAGAAGAAAACATAGAATAAGTGCAGATACCTGACACAAACCCCCTAAATATGGTGGATTCTTCCAAATACAATACTGTACAATCAGCAAGTTCCAAGAATATGGTGTTGGTTGTCAAGGAAAAAATTATGCATCAGTTATTGCCAGTGAAACAGAGGAAAAGTAGCTGTTTGCATATTTAATGTTTCAAGGTTACTTTGCCTGTAGATGCCCGTCTGTCCAATTTTAACATTAACATATCCTATATCTAATAAAATTACTAGCCACAACATTTTGGTTGGCATAGATAGCTTCATTCTTTATTACTGCAATACTTGTTAAATATAATAATCAAATCTTTCTGTTTACTGTGTATTTATCTAAAAACAAGATGCAGTTGTAATGACTATTGAGTTTCTGGTATGTACGTGGCCATGGGATTTGAAAACTTGTTAAAACTTTCTAAGTAGCTGTCAAACAAACATATAAATGGTCTATTCAAGCTTTAAATTTATAACTATATTTTATACAGAGATCCTACAACTAACACAATCTGACTAAATACAAGAGTAATTTTCTTAGTTGCAGAAATCATGTATTCTATAATCATTTATATCTTGATTTAAATATATTTTAATGATCTAATCTTTTCTGTTTGCAACTGCACCATTGCAAACAGACTTGCTTATAAACAAAACATTCTTTCTTTTTCCTAGAATTGATGTAACTGAAGTTCAGATAGCAATAATAATCCTCCTTCTGTTATCTGCATGTGGTGGAACAACTATGTGGGACTCTAAGGTAAATAAGCAGTCAGACTTTTAGTTCTGTATTTGAAGCTGTTGTGCAAGTATATTAAGACTTGGCAGTTTGTATAGTGCACTATATTTAGCTTGTGTAGCACTTGTCAAATCTTTGCCTTTTTTAATCCATATATAACATGGATTTTTTCCATGTAGTTTTCCACTGTATACCAAAGTGGTTTCTTATGCATAAAATAAGAGCTATGCAGAGGGGCAGAAAAAACTCCATCTGCCATATAGGAAGTTTAGGTTTCAAACTAAAGAAATGAAATAAATCTTACCCATGAGGATGTGGGGGTAGATATAAACTAGTTACTATACAGTTAAAGTGGACAGGAATTTACCATTCATCACGTGCCCCATTGTAACTACCCATGCTTGCTCTTTATTAGGGGTGTGCAAAATGGGCCGCATTCAATTTGGATTCAGCCCAAATCGGAGACAGTGATTCGATTAATTGATTCAGATCACTGTCCCGATTTCTATTTGGCTGAATCCAAATCTGAAGATTCAGTGCTGATTCAGAGAATCAGTGATTCGGTCGTAGACACAGCTTTAAATGTTTTTTCTACATACCTCAAGGTACCTGTGCAGCTCGTGAATGCTGCTATGTGGGATGCTCCATCCACCCCACCAGGAGCACAGGGGGCCCTCCCGTGTGCTTGGTGGTGGACCCGGAAGTGGACTGAAAGTACTTCCAGTCCGCTTCTAGGGTCCTCCACCGAGTGCACGGGGGACCTCCCCTACCTCCCTCCAGCTCAGTGATTTGGCTATGGGGAGACCCTAGGTGCCCCCTCAGACCCAGGAGGCACCAGTCGCCAAGGCGGGAGGGGGGTGGTGTCTGGTCCACTTCCGGGTCTGCTGCCATGCCTGCTGGGGACTCCCCTACATTCCAGTGGCACTCTCCATCCACCGGAGCATCTCAGCATTCATGAGCTGCCTGATACCTTGAGGTATGTAGAAAAAACATTTAAAGCTGTGTTTATGTCCGAATCGTTGAGTCTCTCTGAATCAATTCAGAGGGTTCCGATTCGAATCGGAGAGATTAAAAGGTCTCCTGATTCGATTAGGAGATTCAGCTGCTGAATCAGGCCAAATCGCCGCCAAATTGAATCACCAACCAAAGCTTCGTGCAGCGCTACTCTTTCTCTTTGGTAAATTGAAATTAAATTGGGGTAGCAAAGCACTCTCATAGAATGTATATCCTGCCAACTATCGCACGTCAGCTGATGCATGGTAATGCAGCTTTCCCCTCCTCAAATAGGCTTTATTTTGTTCTGGAACAATAGTTTTATTAGAAACCATGAATGGAAACATTAGATTTCATAAGCTTAACTCATTGATTATTCTGTCTTGTTGTAATTACTGGATTGTTCTGACATGCAACGAGTCTGTTGCATTTTAAGGAAAACAAGTCTGTTGTAAAGTAGTTTCTACAAATTTATTGGTACTCTTTTTTTTTTTTAACTCTCTGCTGCCTTTGGAAGTCACTTGAAACTGCAGTAAATGCTAAAAGGTAAATATTTAATGAAAATGTTTTTGCATTATTCGTATTATCCAAATATACCTTACGCATGCGTATTCACGTGCACGCACACCCACTTCCCCCCCCATCATCTAATCTAAATGCACAGCAGTCAGATAGAATTACATTTCCTTTGGTTCTGCAGCATGCTGACAGATAAATTATCTACCTTTTTTCCTCTGCAGATTTCTGACACAACAATGTGATATTATTAGAAAGTAGAGAAAATTGTTTTTAAAGAGCTCTGTAAATACAGACACTTTAAAATTCAGCTACACTTCAAGAACCGAAACCGCTATGCTTCAAGTACTTCCAAAAAAAAAAAGTGCTTTCATTTTAATAGATCTGCACTCCTGGAATTGTTGGTTTGAGTATAAGTTTCAAGGAAAAGGAAGAGTTAAAATAAAGCCATGAAAATTTGTTGCATAGATTTCTGTAGTGGAGGAACTTCTTTTTTCCAAGCGTATCATCCTTAATTTTTTTTTTTTTTTTTAAACCTCTTTTCTGCAAGATCCCTTGGGTAGATCTAAGCCTGAAGACTCTCCCTGTTCTTGGAATAGTGTGTGGAGCAATATATTCCTCTTTCAATTACTTTAGTGTCATCTTTGGCGGAGGAGTTGGAAAGAATGGATCTACAATAGCAGTAAGATGCTTTAAACTGTTCAATTATAAAAATCCCCAGTCAGTGACCTGGCCAGAAATACTGACTTAAGCAAGCCTAGTATGTTTGTAAGTTCTGTTTGATATACTTCAACATTGTTTTAAGCCAGGAGTGCTCAACCTCTGGCCCCACAGGTCAGATGAGTGACATGGGGTTACTCTGCAGGCCAGTTCAAGCTCTGAGCACCAGGATCAGATGGTGGTGCCTGGCACCACCCCCTCCCTGCCCCTTCATGCACTGGGATTTGGCCCTAAGGGAGCGACACCACCCCTTCCTGCCCCTGTGTGCCAGGATTGGAGCCTGGTGGCCCAGCACTGCCTTCTGCCTCCAGGATTGGGCCCTAGGGTTCTGGCATCACCCCTTCCTGCCCCCGTGTGCCAGGATTATACTGTGGGGGCCTGGTGCCACCCCCCAACCCCCCACACTAGAATTGGGCCATGGGGCCCAGTGCTGCCCACACCTGGCCCTGTGCACTGTGATTGGGCACCTGATTCAGTGTGTGGGGCCTGGGGCTCCCCATGGGTCTGGAAATTTAGCAGCTAGAGAGCAGTGGGGAGCCCTGTGGGCCAGATGCCATGGTGCCAGAAGCCAGGAGTTGAGCATCCCTGGTTTAAGCCATAATACATAGTTAGCTAGTCAGATCTCGGGTGAAGTGGTCACTCCATGGCCCATTTTCTGTATACCCTTGATTGGACCTCTTGTATTGTCATGGAAACACCAATGAATGTTGAGTGGTATAAACAAAAAAAGCCACCTCAAGTGGTGCTGTTGGATAGACGCTCAGGAGTTGTGATTCCATTTGATTTCAGTGTGAGTTGTGATTGGTCACTGCTTCTAGAAAGTCATGGCAAAACACTTTTTTTTTGCTTTTGTTTCAGGGAACTAGTGTTCTTTCACCAGGTCTCCACATAGGATTAATTATCACCTTGGCAATTGTGATCTATAAAAAATCTACAACTCATTTGTTTGAAAACCACCCATGCCTCTATGTCTTAACATTTGGATTCGTGAGTGCTAAGATCACACAAAAATTAGTGGTAAGAAATCCTGTCAGTTGTTAAACTTGGCATGTGTTGAGTGTGTCGGACTGTGTTTTCCTTTCTTTCATAAGAACCAATGTGCAATTTTTCTCTCGGCTCTGACAATGTACTGCATTCATTATTGCAAACCTAACCTAGGCCTTTGTCTTTCAGTGGGCACCCTTAAACTAACTGTGGTTCGCATCAAATTCAAGATGCAACATTTAAAGTGTGACCAATGAGTACATGTATTTAGAGTTTAAAGGCACAGCTATCTTTTCTTGTTTCTCTTGAGGGGCAAAATCTAGTAGTAATTCACTTATATCCATAGTGTGTTTTGTTTGGTGTTTTTTGTGTTTGCTTTATTTTTGGCTGTCAGAGCTGACTTCTGTCATTGCCAGTAAAGCACTGGCTGGAGAGTTACAATCTCAGGTTTAGTTAAATTGAATTTATTTACAGTACACTATAACATTTTAAGCTTACATCAATGTTCAATGCTATTCTAACTTCCTGTAAGGAAGACACTGCAAACAAGATGAGATTTTTTTTTTTCTCTCTACTAGATTAGAAGCCACTATACCACCTTTTTCAGTTTTATTCTAGCTGTAAATGCTTTGGAGTTTGGTGTGTATTTTGTTTTTTGCACCCGCCCCCCACCCCCTTGTGATTTGTATAGGCACAGGCTTTGAGTCTCTTCTCTGTCTCAAAGATTCAGTGCACAGCTAAACAGTGAAATAGGGTTGAGGCTGGAGATCTTGTTTAGTTTTCAGTAAGCAGGTCACTGACTCCTGCTTTGACTTCAGGAGCATATACAGAGCACAGGACAAAAAAGGGTTGGCTGCATAAGGCTGGAAGATGTACAAAAAACTAACAGCAGAGCTAGGAGCTAGCCCAAAAGAGTAAGACAGTGTCTTCGGCAAAGTTCTCTGTCCAGTTCTGTTTTTTATGGCTGGGATGGATCCAAGTATGGTGGCTTGTGGTTAAATAAAAACCTTTGTAAAATGTTAACAGATTGGACCCCCCGTCCCTCCCACACACAAGATTATAGAAAAGTCGGGGATTACATTTACAGGGAAGGAAGAATGATTTCTATTTCTAGTTTTGGTTTTTTTTCTGTGTATATAGCCTCTTCCATTCAATCTTTTCTATACTGGACGTAACACTCATTTCTTCAGGACCTTGTTCAATCTCTGTCTTGGGGGACCAGGCTGGGGGAGGGAAGTGTGCAGCCAGGGTTGTGTTTTGCAGGCGCGCACACACAAATGTATTGGGCATCCTACAGATAATTACTGTACTTTGCAGGCAGTTTTAGTTAAATCCAGAGGAAAAGTAATCCTCTTTCAGTTTTTACAACTAAAAATATTTATAAAGTCCAAAAATTGATTCTTGTTTCATTTTTAGTTGTTGCATCAGTCTTTCAGTAATTACTTTCTCAGTGGCCACATTCAGAGGGGAGGGTGGCACCTAAATGCTGTATTTTAAGAAAGCAACATGAGTTTAAGAATCATTGTGACATGGGAATTTTGTACTTTGTAGTGTGACTTGTAAACAGCTAATATTGTTAAATCTAAACATTTTTTTTAGAGTGATACTATTCCATTTTGCTTTATTCAACTATACTTTTCTTGTAGTTGGTGTCCTAGTTCTGTTGGTCACACATAGGAAGCTAACATGATGGTGTCTCTCTTCCTGTTGTGGGAGGAGACTCACCTCTGTATACTTTGACGTAATTATAAAATGGTGCCTAGGAATAAAAGCAGAAGCAGGAAAGCTGAAAAAGATCAACCTGTAAGCAGGCCTGGATTAGAAAGGCAGAGGGAAAGGGTGAATCTTGGGTTTAGGCAGAAGATGCTCTTTATGGTGGCAGAACCCAGTGTCTTTTAAAATAAATTTCCTTTTCAGAAAAATAACATATTTTCTTGCATACAACACCCACTCCCGAAATAAAACAGTTGTTTTTTTTCCGGAGTCATGGCTGGCTGTGTGATGTGAGGTTAGTCTTTCTGGAAATCTATACCAGATACAGACATGCAGGCACATGTGGTTTGTGGCACCACAGACCTCTTTGCAGCACCACAAACCTCATGCATGCCCAGCACATTAAAACATGCCCTGCCCTGCAAATTTGTAGTATGAGGGCAAAATTCACTACTGGGAAATCCCAGTAGCAAAAAAACCCCAAAAACCCAAAAAGCAGCATGATGCACACACACCACAGGAGTATGCGCCGACAGACACAGAGGCTTGGTCCTCCAAGGAGACACTCTAGCTGTCATCTAGAGCATCTCCCCTCCTTTCACTCTGCCCCAGCTCTTCCAGCATACTGGGAGCCAGGAGAAGTGGGGAAACAGCAGTTTGACTGAAGCAGGGCATATTTCCCCACACCAAAGCACGCGTGCAGGTGTGTGCGTAGTGGCACAAATTTGTGCTGCTATTATTTTTGCTGCTGCAAGCACATGGCCCTGCATGTGGGGACACACCCATAGTGTCCAGGAAGTGTGGCATCCCAAGAGACAATCTGGGTGAGGTAGAAGGAACTTCCTGCCTTACCAGTTGTTTCATATGTTGGAACAGGTTTTTCATTACTTTAAACCTTTTACACCAGGGGTGCACAAAGCAAGTATGTACCTGGGCTTGAGGTGATGTTGGCCAAAGCTAGGAGGGCTGAACCTGGTGCCATGCAAAGTGCGGCACACCAAATTATTACTGGGGAATTTAATTTTTTTAATTGCACCAAATTTTTTGCCATAGTTTTGAGAGGAAAAGAGGGTAAGAGTGTTGGGGTACCTGCATACCCCCTGCCTGTCTTGTGAACCCCCCCTACCTGTGTTTTGCATACCACAGGTTGAGAAACTATGCTTTAAACTGTTAACTGTCCTTCAAGAGCTTTTATTTACTTGTAGTTCCTTTTTTCTTCAAATAGTACTTTGTGTCCCCTAAATTTTCTTTGCTAAAACTTTTTAACTTTAGACATTGTGGTTTTTTTTCTTTAATAGGTGGCTCATATGACAAAAAGTGAAATCTATCTTCAGGACACTGCATTCATTGGGCCGGGGCTTCTGTTTTTGAACCAATACTTCAACAGTTTTATTGATGAATATATAGTTCTGTGGATTGCACTGGTAAACATTTTTTGTTGTTGTAAATTTTAAGTATTTAAGTGGATTCAAATGAGTATTTTAGAGGTTCAGTTTTATATGGGGATATAGTTGAAGTGGTGGGTTGAAGACTTCTCCCACACTCATTTAGATTTTTCTCTGATTTAGCTGTTTCTATATAGAGTAACTATAACAAGGTTTTGAGCTAGAGTTTAGGACCAATCCTGATTTATTTACATTAATGAATTTGGGGTATATTTTGTGTATAAAATAACCTAACATCAAGTTTTTGATTTGCATGAATCAGTAGTGATATATATAGCTAAATTGCAGTATCATTTTTAAAATGTAACAGTATGTGGACCTTTTGGTGCCTTATGCTCTTCTTTTCATTTTGTAGTTTATATCCTTGTTTGATTTACTGAGATATGCCACTGGAGTGTGCATGCAGATTGCTGCTCACCTACACATACATGTCTTCAAGATTTCATCTCATCAAGCACCTGAACAGGTTCAAAACCATAGTGACTGACTAGTAGCAAAAGGAGAAGAGGAGAAGCAGTTAGGGGAATATTGAATGAAGGATATATCTTTTCAGGAGTACAGATAACAAAACTTTTCAAGAAAACAGGCAATGAAAAACTTGTTAATTTGCTCAGATAATATCAAATGTGATTATTTAAAAACATGAAGTCCTGCAGATTCTACTTGTGATTCTTATTTTTGAATTGGGATAGAGTTCTAAATATATTCTAGAGAATGCAGTTGTTGGTTTTGATCATGAGCATCTGATCTGAAACTGACTTTCAATTATGTACAAGCTATTCCTTAATAGATAGATTATTTTACTTTTGGTATATGGATACAACTGCAAAGTTTAAGTACTAACTAACTAGAATTCTTAGAGCTGTGTGAGTTCACAAAGGAAAATGGCCAACATTTTCTCCTTAATTTTTCAGTTTCTAAGCTTTGGCAGAATATTGCTATGAATTTAGTCAAAGGCTTCCACATATATATATAAAAAAAGGCATAAATTATTTTGAAATTAACTTTGGTATAAACAGTTGTGCAGGTGCTTGCTGCTGCTGCTAAGATGATATGGTGTTTGAAGTCAGTGGGAGATCAGTATCCCACAAGCCCAAGCTTTTAATTAAAAAAAAAAAATGCTACTAGATTTAAAACTCCAGAATGATTTGAAATGTTCTTTGGGATACTGGAAACTGAGGAAGCCTAAAAATCTAAACCCAAACAAGCTGATGCTATTGAACATATTTATGTGTGTTCTGTATTTCAAGATCTGGTCTCTAGTTTTCATTTACGATAATTTGTAGGTTTGCTTGTTGATACTTAATCATTAATTACATGATTTGCAGGCAGAATTGATCATTTGACATTTAAATAGTATTAATATTAATGGGCTGTCTGTATCAGTCTGTAAAATTGAAAATGCAAAACTGAAGGTTAAGTGAGAAGACTGAACATTGGCCCATAAGCTTAGAGATCTGATCAAGATCCTTTTTCACTTTGAACATGATAGTGCAATATGAATGTGTCATTTCCTTTGAAATATATTCACCACAGATCTTATTTTAGCTCAGTGGTAAAACAGCTTGTCTGCAGCTATATTTCAAAATGAATATATTATCTAATAGCCAAGTATACATTATACCAGGAATCTAATCTAACTTGTTACCACACTGAGCCTCAACAGATTTGTTTCCAAATACTGGATAGAATTTCCTAAGTAAATATATTGTCAAACACTGTCCAACATCAAAGATAATACAAAAGCTATGTGAAAAAGAGTGAGACAAGTCAGAATATGAAACAAATTGGCAAAGAGATTTGTTCTATAAAATATCTATCATGTGTCTTCTAATGATCTAGCCTTATCTTTGCCAATCTACAAGTGAGCATAAAAAAGCAACAATAGCAAAAAAAACAACAAACCCCCCCCCCCCCCCCCCCCAAAACACTAGCGACAAAAGCTATTGTTCACTGAGCATTTACATCATACCAGACTTGTAGTTAAGGAAACAGGATAAAGGCCTAATAGCCTTTTAAAATATAACCTTAAGTACTTTTCACAACAGGAATCTGTTTCTGTAGAAATGGAATAATGAAGCTCTTGAAGATGAGCTTTCTTCAACATGTTCAATTGACAAATGAAAGTTGACATTTTTCCAAACAACTGCCTTGCATATGCAGGGATCTGGTAAACTTGAAAGAGACTCAACTTTGGGAGAATGAGTTTTTCCATATCTCCATTGGGAGAAAATCCTGCATGAAAAGAGGCTGTCTGACCTGAAGCTGTACTGATGCCAGAAAAATGGAATTGAATTAACTTTTTTCTTGCTGCACTAATCTGATGATTGTTTTGATCTCCTGGCTATGGCATAAAAATTCACCTACCTCTGAATAAATCCTCTTTATTTTCCCAGTAAACTGGACAAAATTTACATGAATATTCAGTTCACTTGCGCAATTATATAAAGTAAAATTTATTAATGACATCAGTTTTAGCAGTTAGGTTTGTTTTCAGTGAAATTCTTTAGTGTGTCTAAATACTGTTAGTGAGAGAACTACTTAAAGAGAAGGCCCAGTGATATTTTCAGATTAAGCAGGTTCCTCACCTGTACTTCCTGTGTAAAAGAAGTGCTTTTTCATTTCAATTTAATAGAAAATGTTGAGTAAACTTTACATCATTACCTCTTGATCCTTAAGAGACAGTTTAGAGTTTGTCATAACTAAAATTTTTAATTACGTGTAATTATGTTAAATCAAGAACAATTGCTTAGAAGCCGCCAAAGATCCACACAGTTGAAGTATGTCATGCTAACCTGAGCCATTGCTGAAGCGCCCTGAATTCTTATTTCACTAATTCTGAGCCCCAGTAATTATGGAAGGGTGGCTGTTAATTGCAAACAAGCAGTTGAGTGCTCTCTAAATAGGCCATCAGAAATTGCTGCTCTAGAGAACTAATGTTGCTCCTCTACTCTATCCCAGTTTTAAATGGGGACTGAATTGTTCTGGCATCATCAACAGCTGGCCTAGACCTCCCTATCCAGAAAATAGCACGACACTAGCACTCTGAAAAATCACTGGTTCCATAATCCAGGGAGTAGTCAAAAACTGGGGAAATTGTCTCCAGATGACCTAGTTCCATCATGTAAATGCTAATCAAGGGACAAATTAAATTGTAGAGAATCTGTATGGACTGGTTTTGGAATACTTTGCATTTTTAAAAATCTTCATTTTTCAGGGCATTCTAGAAAAACTAGGTATGTTACTCCTCCTCTCCTTATTTGTATATTACTACAGAATCGAAACTTTAGCTTTGATAACATGAGAACATTAATTCCTTGGTAAAAATGGCTGTTGCCTGCTTAATGCCATTAATTAAAATATTTTGGGTTTTTTCTAAGTTGTATGTGCATAAACAATTTTTTCTGTGATGACAAAAATCTGTATTATGTAATATACACAATATAAAGAATTTCTTCTAAAACCATAAGCCTTTATTAAACTGCTAATTCTTTCAAACAGCAAAGACTAACACTTGAACTACTGTTCTGGATGCAGGAACCTGATTTGGGATATCTTTGGGATATTTTTTATTGGTACACAAGAATTCACAGTACATGTTCCAACTTTTAAATGTGTGGTATTTATTGAATTGCTGCATATCTGTTGTTAATTATAAAATGATGTTTATTTAAACTAATTACATTAGTTACTCTGTAAAGCTGGAATACCTTTTTTAAATTCAAGTAACATGCTTTGACAAATTTGTTCTTGTAGCATGGTAAAGTTTACAATAAGGTTCCTAATGTTTAATAAAACCACATCCTGGAATGGAAGAAAACTAAATAAAACTTACTTACAGCAGCAACTAAACTTAATTCTTGTGTATCACAAATACCTAAAACTTCTGGTATGATACTGGGCTAAACCTACAAAAAAATGTACATATAAGCCTATGATGATTGTTATGGTTTCTTTAGTTCACAAACAAATATTTTTCAGACTTAACATTTTGCTTAACAGCAGATTTCCAGGGTGCACCTTTAATCTTGTGGTGCTATATGTAGGGCCCTACTGAATTCATGGTGGAAGTGGGCTATGCTGAGGCTCCTTTAATTCAGCAGGTTTCTCTGTTGTGCCCCTCCCCCCAGCTGCTGATTGGTGGAGGGGCCCCACTTGTGGCTTGCTCTCAATTTGGTGGGGAAGCAAAACTTGGTTTTAAACAAGGTGCTGTTTTTGCTTCCCTGCTAGTCAGCATCAAGCAGCGGGGCCACCTGGGGCCCCTTGGCGAATTGGCAGCAGGGAGGTAAAAATGGTGCCATATTTAAAATGGTGGCTTTTACTTCACCGCCAGTCAGTATTGACTTGCAAGATTAAAGGAGCTGCAGTGCAGCCTACTTCTGCCGTGAATTCAGTAGGGTCCTAGCTATGTGTTGGTGGAATTTTGTTCCATTTAGCATTAATGCCGCCTACTTACAGTTCAGATTAAGAATCACATATCATGTGTTATAACATCACCTTTTGGACAGTCCACTTCAAATGCTAAATTAAAAAACTAAGGACAATTCAAGTAAACTTGAAAAAGGAAATTAGAGTGAAGAATTCACTTTTATAGTCTGATAGGCTTAGCTTTATCAATTTCACTAGCAGTTATTGAACAGGAAGTACTTGAAACAATTCATGCCATGGTTTGATTAATATGAACATTTAGGAAACAGAATTTTAAAGCAGTAGGCTTATTTTTCTATAGCTAAAGCTAACTGTTATAATTATATCATGTTACTTAGGTACAAGTTGTTCAATGAACCATCAGAATAACATGGACTGAAGAGACTTCCGAACAGTTGCCATCTCTTGTTGTTGCTGTTACAAGAAAAGGAGATAAAATTGAACACAGATAACAATTAGGGAAAAAAATACCACTTTAGTCTGGCCTACTGAGCTAATTAAGAGAATCTTAAATTATTTTTCTCCTGACTTTTTTTTTTATTTTTTTTGCACTGATTTCCTCCCTCCCCTCAAAAAATCAGTGCTAATACTTACAGTGTCCATCATAATTTTCTTTTGCAACATAGCCATTTCCTTGCGAAGTTCACTTTGTGCACCAGCTAGAAGATTTTCATTATTCTTTTCCATATCTTCCATGCTCTAAACGTTACAGAACAATTATTTTCACTGTCAGTTGAACTGGATTTCAAAATTAAACCAGGCTCAATCAACAAGTTGTTTGCCAAAGGTGGCATATATCTTCTGTAGTTCTCATACAACTGGAAAATATGCTGCTACTCTAGAAACACATACCCTGTGTACAACACTATACTGATTTTTTTTTTTTTTAAATTAGACAGCTAGCTGTTTAGAATTCTTACTGTGCTGTACCTAAAGTTATTTTTCCCCAACAGAAGTCTATCACATCTGCAGCTGCAAAGCATCTGATTAAAAGTCCTTGCTAACATCCCTATTTCTTTTGCATTCACCTCTTATGACTACCTTGTTTTTCCCATACTAATTTGGACTTATCTTGCAGATGTTTTAGATCATGCTTACCATTACACATGGGACTCATTCCATTCTGATAGCTGGGGCCACTTGTGCACATATGCAGTTGAGATTGTGTGGGCACAATATTAAGCTCAATCTGTACATTCTAATTTTACTTGGAATGAAAGATAGTAGCAGTGCTTCAGCCTCCATTTGCATTGCACCGTTAAGATAGCTTCGTCCAAATGTTATTACTTTTAATACAGCTTTTTAGGTAATACTGATTAAGTATACTCATTAGCATTTCATGTAAAATTAAGATCAGTTCACAGTTACTGTAGATTTGTTAATAGCAGCATGTCCTGACAGCACGTGTGTTTTCAAACCTATTGCAATACTCTAAACAAAAGCTGGTTAAAGTTGATAAAAATTTCCTTGGCAAAAATAGGTTTAGAAGGGGATTTTATTTGATAAAGTATTTTTTTTTTTATGTTCCCAGAAGTTTAGACAAAAAAAGTTTTCATTTTTTTTTGCTTTTTGAAAAAAGCATTTTTTCTGTCCACACACAGTGCAGCAAAATGAATGCCTTGGATTTTTTTTTTTACTGACATTTCCCAGCTTTTCCAGTTTTTCCAAAGATGATTTTTCTTCATTCAATGCTATCAGACATTTTGAAAACTCATTTTTTTTCCCTTAAAAAAAATTCCTACTTCAAATCCTGAAACAAGAAATTATATTGTAATTTCTCAGTTTTTCATGGACTTGTTTACATTTTTGACTGAATGTAATTGTTTTTCCTGTTTCTGGTAGCTATTAATTTTAACTTGACATTTAATTATGCTTCTAAATTAATATAAAACTACTAAACTTGGAAGTATTCTTTTTTTAAACTAGATAACTTACATTTTGAAAAGCATTTATGCCCAGCCAAACTATAACACTACTAGCATAGATGGGCATTTAGGTGATGCTTGTCAGTACACACATTTCATAGACACTAGGGCTGGAAGGGACCTCGGAAGATCTTCGAGTCCAGCGCCCTGCTCCAGGGGCAGGAAATCAGGGAATTATACAGACTGGTATCTTTGAACTGGTCACCTGTCTTAAATCAGATTTTTAGTTTAACTTGGTTCTATTATTCACTTTACCTATAGTTTGAGGTTGAAAGGATGGACAAAATACAATATAGTATGTTTATCTTAAATTACTGATAATAAGAATACATTAAGGCATTTAACTGTTAATTGTGTATATTAAGCATGTGTATATAGTGTTTACTTTCTTCTCTAAATGTGACATCAAAAGCAGTGGTTGCAAATATGTAGTGTTGTAAGTCAACAAAGACCATAAAAGTCAGTTAATCAGAAGAGCCTATTAACTGGTCTACTGTTTCCACTTTCACACGAGATCCTTATTGCTGGCTGACTGACTCTTCTTGCCAGCATTGGATTGAATTACTTAGCCATAACAGTTTAATGAAAGTAAATCTCAGGTTGCTCAGTGCTTTTCTGGAAAGCACATTTAGTAAGTAAAACATAGCATCTCACCATTAGAACACTTTTTTTTTAAATGGGGATTTATCTAGCAAGTTATTTCTTTAAAAAAAAAAAAAAAGATTCCTGATGAGAGGTCACTATCCTTTCTTTGTTTTAGTTTCTACTTTTAGGGAGATGGCTGCCTCAGCTGAAGTGTAAAAAGTGTTAAATTTTGGCTTACAGTTTTAAGAAGAGAATACAGAACACTTTAAAGCAATGCAATTGTTCCTAACATTAATAAAAATCTAAGGGCTGATGTACATAAACACACTGTTGCAGTGGTTTAACTGGAAGTGTGATGTGTTTAATCTAGCACAAGCATCTGTTTCAGTACTCAATTTTATTTAAACCTGACTCTGTAGTTTTTAATTTTGGCAAGTGTACAGATATAATCAATTTAAGAGGTGTGTGTCCACACAGGGACCTGAGTGGCTTGCTTATTTAAGTCAGTTATTTATTTAAACAAGTATGTGTCAAATAAGGGCAACATACATGTGTAGACAAGATCTTAGTTAAAAAAAAAATAGAAATATACTTAAGTAACCAAGCTGATTAATTACAGAAAACTTGTGCAAAGCTCTACTATTATGCTTAAACAAACTATAAATTCTTTACTCATTATAGTACTTCTGCTTTAACTGTGAATTTCAAAACAGTCTTATTCAAGGTTCACGTAGTTTACAAAAAGTATATATACTGGACCTTTAAGAACTGATCATACAGCTGTTTAATTGTTTTCAGTCTCTGACTCTGAACTATTCTCGCCTGTTGGAAAACCTTTTGTTGCTGACGGAACATATTCTAAAGCACAAACAAAAGCCATGTTAGTTAGTGAATGATAAATTAGATGGATGCTGCTGTCAGTGTTAATAAACAAAACTTACCTCTCCATTGGAAATTCCTGGTTTATAACATGGATCTGCCACGTGATCTGAACTGTCTCATTACATAGCTCCCTTCCCCTCTCTCTATATTATCAATCCAGGGAAGAGGATCAAGTGTAATTGCTGTTAGCATCCATTTGTCCTTCTACCCTACATGCCTAACATGCTCACGCTATGCCAGGTACAACGTGCCCTTTCTTTCTTACCTTGCCACACAATCCTTGGAAATTTGGACGAAGCTTTACCCCAAACATGGCTGGATACTCAAGGATTTGCTTTTAAATTCTCATGAGGGTTTTGCCCAGTAAAGAAAACAATTTATCCCTATGTATAAAGCTAAGGTGAAACACTACACTCACAGATGGTCTCTACCATTTCAATATGCAGCGGGCACCTCTACACAAGATGCTTTAGTGTGCAATTAGACTAATCTAATGTGTAGTAAACACCAACTGCTGCAGCTTCCTTAGCCTGACAAAGGGTTTTTGAACTCGAAAGCTTGCTTAATAACTATTCTCCAACCATTTGGGTTGGTCTAATAAAAGATATCAAATTCCCCCAAGGAACCTTGTCTGCCTCTAGTAAAGAGTCAGCATTTACACATGCATATGGGACCTACTACTCCCCCCAGGAGCTGGTCCCATATGCATGTGTAAATGCTGACTGGGGGGGGGGGGGGGGGAGGGGGAGAGGGGGGGGGGGGGGGGGGGGGGGGAGGAGCAGTACCAGGGCTGGTGGGGAGACATGGGGGAGAGAACAGGTGCTGGGACCAGGGAGGGAGATGTGGGGGAGGGAAACAGTACTGGGACCAGAGGAAGCAGTGCTGAGACCGGAGGAAGATGTGGGGGAAGCAGCATCAGGACTGGGGGGGAGAAGCAGGGAGGCAGCACTACCAGAACAGGGTCGGGGGGAGACATGAGAAGGAAGCAGTGCTGGTGACCAGCACTGCTTCCCCCTCATGTCTACCCCCTGGCCCCAGTGCTGCTTTCTCCCCCTGCTTGGGCCCAGGGCATTGCCCCAAGCCAGTGCCGCCAAGCCGGGCTGCAATCCCTAGCTCCATGTGACTGGGAGCTCCCTTCCACTTCTGGACAGCTCCCCTGTTCCCTGGAGGCCAGACCTGGTCCCCATGCCCCCTGCTAGCCTGGGGCTAGCACCTGGGGGAGCCTGGGTCTCTCCCTGGATGCTCCAGGGGGGCAGAGCAGGACAGGGGGGTAGGAGAAGCCCCAGACTGAACTTCTTCCAACAGTAGTGCACATATAGATGTGCACCTGGGAACACTTACAATAAGCTTGAATTTCCTCTCAGAAAATTCAGGTGTATTAACTGCATGTATAGACATGTCCAATATATCCTAAAAACATCATACAAAATAAAAAAAACCCAACCTTTAATCAAGACAGCAAGAGTCCTGTAGCACTTTTTTTCCCCTGAAACATACTTAAGTGTATTTATGCATGAGGGAACCTGGTGCCCAACAAGAGTAATTAGCATTTGTATTTCTGATTTAAAACATTTTAATATATTCATATGTTGTGCTGGAAACTAACCGCTAGTTTTTCTTCCTGTTCCTCTCCTTTCTGCATATCCACATCCCATTGCTGAAATAAGGTCAGGAACTGCTGAGAATACTCATGGTTCAGCTTCTGTCTAAAAATATATCTTGCAGTTACTATTGTGATTAGCAATGTAAAACTGAAATATCAGTTAAAATAAATATAGAGCCACTAATGCCAGATGGATTTGTTTTTTTAATCTGTACTGGAATGATAACACTTATGTAGGATTAAAAGATTAAATGTCCAAGTACGTGTTTATTTGATTGGGAGGCCGACTTGGAAATAAGAAAGAAGTCTTTTATTTTCTATAAGTTGAGTATGTAAGCCTGCATAACTACGTCTACCAATATGCTGGGAATAGCATATGTAAAAAAATAAGCTATTTAGCTGTTGAAAAAGATGACATTTAACTATAAGTGTATTTGACCAAAAAAAACCCTATTTTAAAAATGTCTGATTTATAAAATATTTAATGCCAGGTTTCATCTTCTGTCTTTTAAGGCCAGTATCAATAACTAAACATTCCTCCAAGTGGAGGGAAAAATCCTACGCGTCATTTATCATTGAAAAGTTAGATAAAATTACACTTTTTCAATAAATAGTAATTTTCAATTTTTGAGAGAAAATTTGGAACGGAAAATGTTCATGGAAAAAATTTCAAATGAAACAAACTAGAAATGATTGATTAAAATAAAAATGTTCTGAACAATTAACACTGACTGAAGTCAATTTTCATCAAAATGAAACATAACAGATGGCTATACTAGTCAGTTTGCTCACAAACTCTGACATATTATATTTCCGTTACTAAAGAGAGAGTTCAGGTGAGTTGTTTCTGTGAATTTGAAGTGACAGAATTGGAGACAAAAAAACAGAAGTGCTTGAGCAGAAGTGCCTGGGTAGAAAGTTCTTTGTTGCCAAAACAAATCTAACAAGTGTATGATGCTATAGCAGGTACTGTGATCCAGAAAAAATACATAATTACATCTTACACTTTTCCACCGTATTAAATGTAAATACTACCTTTGTTCCTGCTGTGTTTTCCAAACATGTTCAATTTTCTGGTTGCTGGTTTTGAGAGAAGCCTTAGTATACATTTCTAGTCTCTTCTTTTTAGCCTGGAGAGCCTTGTTAATATCAGCTGAAATGGATGAAAAATAATTGTAAATTGTATTATGCATATATTTGAATTTTAAAACAGCATATTAGTGCAAATGCTATCAATTACATTTAGGAAAAGCATTCACAATGCTTTGTAACTGAAAAAGTGTGCAATAACTTTGGCATTTTAAAAATATTATTATAAAAGTTTCATCAACCCAAGAACTTTTTGAGACATACTTATTTTAATAACTTGGAGGTAGGTTGTAATACATTAACAAAGTAATGGTTTATCAATATTTCTAAAATACTAAATAGAAGAAGTACACTTTTAATCTTCAGATAATGACATTCTGTATAGGGATAGCATGAACTGCTACTTTACAATAAAATGTTTGTTTAGATGCATTTTAAAGTTATAAGCATCTTAAGTCGGCCAGCCTACAACGTAAGTGTCATAAACCATAAGACTGTGAGTGGCACATGGCAGATCAGGGAGGGGACAGGCAGCACAGCTGCAGATAGGACAGGAAGCAGCAAATTGGGCAGAGAGCACAGGGCTGGGAGCAGAAAGCAGAGCAGCAGATTGGGTAGGGGAAGGGGATCAAAGTGACATTTGAGGAGGGTGTGGGACTAACTTGTGGCATTCCTGTCAAAAGGTTGTCCCCTACTGCCAGCTACTTCTTCTCTTCTGCTATCACTATCAACATAAAGGGTACACCTGCCAACTTTTTATTGTCCTTACATTTTATTCGATATCTTCTTGCTAGCTTTAGTTCTATTATTTTTGTACAGATAACATTCGCTTTTTCTGATCCCTCCATAACCTATCCTTTTACCTATCTTGAGGCTTGAGTAATTTATTCTAACTTATTTATATGAAGCCTGAAATCCTCCTCTTACCAAAGCTGCTGCGACTAGGATTGCATTCTTATATTTCCTCCAAAGCAAGACATTTAGACACTCTTAGCGATTTGAATTAACAAAGTTCTTTAAGATCCATTTTATGCCTTGGAGTCCACATACATGCAAAAAAATATTTTACAAGACATCTACTTCTGTTATAAAACTAAAAATATTATTCAGCCAATTACTGAGTAGGTGAGTTATCTTGTTATTGTGACTCATCTTTCCTTCTTCCTCCCCCCACCACTACTTTTTGCCCCTCTGTGTGTCATACAAAAATTCATAACATAAGTTCTTCAGGGGAAGGGAAATGTGTTATTGTTATGAACTGTGAGTTACCAAGTGTTCTAGCTACTAAACCAAATAATTCTCTCTAAAACTGTCTCCGCAAGATTGCTATTATTCATCCTTATTCTTTGATGCTGTCAGAAATTAAATCTCATATGATGATCACTTAATTACTGATAATTGACTTTCCTAGTTTTTAGTGTTCCTAAACCCTGCAGTCAAACTATTTTCTTGTTCACTCGCACCATGACCATTCATTATTTGTCTCAAAAATCCCTTTCTGATTTTTGAAGGATTTGCTCAACATTACCACTTGCTCTACATCTATGCAAGTCCCTATCTCCTCTCACCATTCCTGCAATCCCATTTTCCTCCTTGCTTCTTTTTTGTAATGACAATTTGAGGGGTGATAAAAATGGCTTCTCAACTTATATTTTCCCACCTCTCTGCAAGTATGAAAAGGTATTGGGCACCTGAAACAGGACAGGCACCTAAGTTCAAAACTGTGATCCAGCATATTACTATGCTCTTTTCCCCCTGATCCTGTGGGGCCTGGCCAAACCTCCTTCCCCTACACAGCTGTATCAGGCTGGGCTGCTTCCCCTCCAGGTAGGGCCTTGCTGCAGGAGCACTGGCCAGATCCAACCTATGCATGGACCAGGTACTGCTCGTTTGACCCTCTGGGCAAAAAGGTTGAGCACCCCTGGCCTAGGTGGCCTTCCATTGGAAAATGTAACTTATAAGTGGGCTTCATTGGATTTGACTTGTGTGGCCCAGGCCTAAATTTTCTGAGGGGCTTGATCCAGTGTATGTCCTCAGAATTGGCGTAATGGATGCAAATAGGATTGGGCCCTTCATAAAATTCACTTTTAACTGCCTTATTTTTAAGATATGACTGCTGGAGGAGGAGAACAGAGATGGTGATTTGGACATTTGCCCACAAAGTGGGAATACTATACTGTTTTCAGTCTCCAGTGATTCAAATCCACAGTCCTCACTTCTTGGGAGAGTGGCTGTAATCACCAAGTTAGAAGCAAAGCTAGGATGGAGGCGTACACTACCTCACCTGCTGAAGCTTTATTATTGTGTGGCAAGGAATGCAAGATGCATGGGAGTTCCCCACTTGGCAGAAGGTTTTTGTATAATCATTCTGAGTCATGTTACTCTCTCGCCCACACACCTAACTCTTTATTTGGAATTCAGGTGCCTCAAAGGCAGGTGCTTCAGTACAGAATGTGTAGGTACCTATACCCTTCTTTATTGGATCTCTGCATCTCTAATCTCATCTTTAAAATCATCGTCACTTTAGTATGTGACTCATATTAAACTATATGCATGCATCCTTCCTAATCTCTCTTCCTTGTAATCAGTCTACAAAAATCCTTGCACTTATATTTTCATTGGATTCTTGCATGATGCTCCATTTATATGTTAATTTTTCTTTTTTAGCAGAAAGTAGCGTACAGCTATAAAGATGCTACAATATTTGTCACTTTTTTGCCTGTCACTCTTAAACTTTGTGCTATTACCATTATTTTTTATAGAATCAGGAAATCAAGAAAAAGTTCCTGCTTAATTAAGGATATGAATAAAATATACTTACCTCCAAACCGTTCCAACATATTCTGTACTTCACCCCTACAAAATATTTAGTGTTTCAGAAACTTTGAATATATTTTTGTATAAACGACCACAGAATATGAACAAATGCAAAAGCTGAACTGACAGTTTTTTCCCCTCTATTTAAAAACAGTAACACTAAAGTGCTGCCGCTGTTGTACAACACACAAGATTAAGTCCCTCTATGTTACCTCCTTGGCACTACCTAAAACACACAAAAATAGGAAAGCCAAAGAACAGGCTAAATGGAATGATTTTTAATGACAATATTTTGTTAACTCACATCCTAGGAGCAAGGCGGGAATATTTTTAAGAACCTGACTGTAAAAGTGGTAAACTGATAAACAAGAATCTGTAGAACTATTCTATGTATGAGGATGGTGAGAGTAATAAGATAGGGGAAGAAAATAATATATCATCAAGACTGGCAATGCTGGGGGACAGCCCTGGTCACAATAAAAGACAACGGGGGTTGTTTTGTATAGTGCACTTAAAACAGAAAGATGATTAAACAGGTATGTGTGGCAGTGGAGAGAGAGCAGAGGTTTAATCAGGCCCACAGCAGGTTCTGAGTCATTGTTAAAAAAGAGGTATTATTTCTTCTGAAGCCTGCCTTTCCCTTTCTGACAAAGAGAACTGGTCACAACTTCAATCTGTTAATTTTGACATCTTTCCCAAAACTACATTTTCAAGCATAACCTTCAGAAGTTTCTATTTATAAATAAAGTTTACATACAAAAAAATGGAGCTTTTCAGGTAATAATGGAACACTTCAATTTGAAAGTGTTATAATTCTTAAGAAAAATAAGATTTGAGAAAGACAGTAAGATGATAAATGACATGGGGTAGAACTTGTAAAACACCATTGGGAGGAAACAAAACAGTTTTGAGAAGCTGTTTTCCCCGCTACATTGTAGCTGTTAGTTATCACTCAAACAACTGGTGTTTCTCTATAAAACACATATGTACGTTTTTCTTTTTTAAACACACTTTATCTGGTCTTCTATCTATTGGACATTTTAACTGAATGGAATCTATGTGACACAAAACTAGGCTTATCAAATTTCAGTAACTAATACCTATTCAAAATTTCGTAACAAAAAATTAAGATTTTAAAGAAAATTACCCCACATCATCTTCAGTCACATTGTGAGGCATCACTGAAGGTCTTTTTTTCCCATGTTTATCTATTACTGGAGTCTCGCCTTCAAATATTTAAAAAACAAAAAACAGAGACCACATCAACTATTTTGCTGGAAAGTGGTTATGTTTTTTTTCTGTAACTGTTTTCTCCAAAGAAATCATATGAAATCTACAATTTGTTTAGCATAAGACAGACTAAAACCCCCTCTGCATCCTAGATTTTCCCCAAGTACCAGATTTGAATAGGCACACCATCGATTTCCTCTGGGCCCTTTTCAATTAGTCCTATACTGAATGTTTGAGCCACAACAGCAAACCTTCTAGAAAAAAAATGACTGTATTCCCAAACTAGCAACAAAATAATCATTTCAAAGATGGAAATAATTTGACCTTAAAAAAATTAACAACTTAAAACAGAAATCAAAATTCTGGGTGAATTGTAGTATTATGAAATAGGGTCCTTAAGAAAGCAGAATTATCGGTTAAGTAGCTATCCCTTCTTTCAGAAGATTTTATAGATTTCATAGACATTAGGGCTGGAAGGGACCTGGGAAGATCATCGAGTCCAGCCCCCTGCCCGAGGGTCAGGAAGTCAGCTGGGGTCATAGGATCCCAGCAAGCATCCAAATTTTTCTTGAAGGCGTTCAATGTAGCTGCTTGAACCACCTCCGATGGCAGCCTATTCCAGACCTTGGGGGCTTGGACAGTGAAGAAATTCTTCCTTATGTCCAGTCTGAAATGGTCTTGCAGTAGTTTATAATCGTTGGACCTTCTCATCCCTTGGGTTTCATACATACAGGATTTCTACTACTGGGCCCAAAAATGTGAGGTCTGTCTGATGCTGGAATCTGAAATACATTTTGCCAAAATATTGTATTATAAGGGTTTTTACTTTTTTTAAAGCAGTATGAATCAGTGTCATGTGATAGCCTAAAAAACAAAAGCTCTGTACATGTTCGCTACCCTTTTCAGAACTATTGTTGATGTAGAGCTATAAAACAGACACTCTGCTTAATGTAAACACCAACCACTGGTGTCTCAGATTATAAATAACCATATATAGACATTACACAGATATATATGCAAGGAAGACACTGCGGTTGGCTGAGAAGTAACAGCAGAGATGGCTTTTCTCTAATAGTATGGTCCATACAGTATCCAAAATAGATCTATGTTCATTCCTCATTAAAGTTTAGCCCACTGGAGAAATCTGTCAAATGCTTCACAGGAAGCAGTTAAAGTCACAGCAGGAAAACCAACATTCTCAATATGAGACAGTGGCTGTAAGATCTTCACTTGTATAGATCTTCTGTAAACGATTTAACGAACAACTGAAGAGGGGAAAACCAACAAAAGACAAATGGTGCTCCCTGAAATTCAGCATCCAAAACACGAGGCGTTGCAGTAAATACTTTGAAAGGATGTCACCATTTGGTTAGTCAATTCTAAATGAAACCCCATTACTATATTTCCTAGGAAAAGATAGCACTGCTTAGCAGCTACGTGGTTCAGGCATAAAACAAAACCATCCTGCCTTGCTGGCTGACATATGCTTCCTTTCTGTGCCTTTTTTCTTCCTTGTTATATTGTCTTTCTCTTCAGAGGATTCTCCTTGCCTCTTTAATGCATTTTTCCCATTCTTCGCTCTTGGTTCATCCATGACCTTCCACACCCTTGACTCCTCCCTGCCACCAAGCCACAAATACCAACCCTCCTTATAGCTTAAGAAGACTTTTCTTGCATTCCCAAATCCATCAGTCAGCACTTGGTACACAGGTAACAGAGCTGAGCATCATTCTCTATTCTCTTCTGTCCACATACCTGATGCAAAGGAGAGAGGAACACTACTGTTTCCAAGTACAGAAGAGAATGCAGCATAAAAAGACTTATTCTATTACAGATGACAATGGGAAGCCTAAGTTTTATAACCATACGCTGGCTACACAAAGCTGTTCTATTGCTTTAAGTAGTTCTCTCCAGCTGAAGGCCAGTCAGAATCATTGGCTTCAAGTCAATCTGTCTGTGGCTGCCTCACAAGGAAGGCTACATAATGCCATCACTCTGATGTACTGACTTCCCCATTTCTATCTGTTATCAGAAATGTCAAAAATAGAGCATTGTACCATTTGAGTATTTACAATATATACATTTGAGTAACTTACAGTATATAAATTTAAATGCATAATTCCCAGTTAACATGATCATTTTAGTTGATTGATGTACCTTCCCTATCTTCCTCTGATCCACTCAGATCTTTCTTTTCTTCCTGGAAGTCATAGGTACATATAGCTTGATCTTCCTGAACTGGTTTACCAGATTTCCCAGGATGTTTTCTTCCTGAAGGTGCCATCATCAGAGTGTTTCTCTTCCCCTACCATAATAAGTATATTGTACCAATTAACTTTTTAAATGCTATTTTCAAAAGTCAAATTCTAGTGATGCTCATACTGACATGTTAACTTTATCCTATGAAACTGTCTATGAAATCTTTTAAGCACTTCAATGAATTATCTAGTAAGACGGGGGGGGGGGGGTTTAAAAAGGTTAGACAAACATTTATTAAGGATGGGCTGGGTATACTTTGAGCAAGTGGACAGACTATAGGATCTCTACATCTCCTCCAGCCCTACCATACATCATTTTATTTATCTTTTAATATTCATTACATATTTCATGACATCAAGATTTGATTTCTGTCAAGGAACTGCATTATTACTGAATATGCCAAAAATTGGATAAGCTGGGAAGCACCCAGAGTTTATTCTGAACTGTATTCCTTCTGGAAATTAAAGAAAAAAAAAGTCAGGCTTATGGCCTTCCCAAACTTTGTATTCCTTTTCTGAATTGCCTTAATTTTTAGCTTTTATAATTTTGTAGTGTGGGGTTCTACTGTAGGTTGCAGAAACTTTTTTTTTTAATTCCTTTTTAAATATACAGCATACATTTAGCATCTCCCTGTACTACCTTGCACATTAATTAAAATGGATTTACAAAATCATACAAAAAGTTATTTTAGGAAGGAATAAGGAATCAGAATCATAAAAAGTAGGGAATTGGAAGAGACCTCAGGAGGTCATCTGCTACCACCTCTTGATCCAGGTAGTATCATCCCTGTCTAAATCATCCTAGACAATTGTTTGTCTAACCTGTTATGAAGAACAGCAGGAACAACTTGTGCACACAACTACCATGCATAATGCCCAACACATCAAGATCACCCCCTAACCTATCACAGGCAAAGCAGAAGTATGGTACTGTCAGTGTCTTGCCACTGAAAAAGTTACTAGTAATAAATAGTGTTACAAGTATGTATACAATTAAATTTAAAACCCTCTCAGTGTTTTATATTCAGTAGAACAATAGACAAGTACAAACATATGTGGCTGTACATGTTTTTCCCCACCACAACAGTAGAATTTGCCTATGGTAGTAGTTTAGCCTACAACAGTCATTTTCAAGCTCTCCTTTTCTGGTGTTTCCATGTTTAATTTGTGTTAAAAATTGCATTTGTTGGTTAAGGGAATAACTGCTTTAAAAAAAAAAAAAACATATCCCAAAAATAACACAACCTATGTGATGTGGTGCAGTATGAGAACAGTAAATAAAAACCTAGGCTCAAGGGAGTCATTCTTCCCAACCTGATTGCGCTGCGTAAGGTAGTCAGGCAGTGAACAGCTAGATGGAGGCACAGTTCAACACTGGCTTGCCACCAGCTATTCCCAAAGACCAAGCAGAGATAAAATTGTAAATGCTGCTTTATCCACTAAAAGAAAGCACATGTCAGACAACAAGGATTAAAATGAACCCTTAAATAAAAGAAACAGTATCAATAAATTACCTCTACATAAACCAAATGATATGCAGGATATTTTAAACCAGTGGTGCTCGACCTAAGGTCTACAGGTTGGATCCAGCCTGTGGCAGCAGAAAGTGGCAGCAGCATCAGTTGCTGTGACACAGCCCAGAGCTGCAGCCATTCATAGTGCCACCAGCTGCTCCCTCGCTGCCAAATTTCCATTCCTAGGGGATGACATAGCCCTGTGGGCTGGGTCATGCCAGCGCACAGGGAGGGCTGAGGGTGGTCCATGCAGCTAGACTGGCACTGGATCGCACCATAGCCAAATGCCAGGGCCCAGCTGGGCGCACGGGCCTATGGGTGGCAGTGGCGGGGGGTTGGGCGCAACCCCTGCAGCTCCCTGCCTGCTGCTGGAGCTGGGTTTGGCTCTGAGGGGGGATGGGGACGGACCCGCGGTGGGGGGTGTGGGGGCGCCCCCCCCCCCCCCCCCCAAGGATGTTTGACACCCTTGCTCCATCCAAGGGAGACTGGACAATCTCTATCCAAGGATGGAGGATGCCTCCAAAGGGAGGGGAGGGTGGGAAGGTTGAACCTCAGGAGAGACCAGGAGCCTGGGGTCTTCAAGCTGCGGGGTGGGAGTTGGGGAGGGGGATAAGCATCTGGTTGAAGAGTTTTTTTCCTTCAAAACACCTAAAGACACCCCCCTCTCCGCCCCGGGGAGAGCCAGAGGCCTGTACTTCAGACACGCAGGGACCCCCTCCCCTTCACCACCACCCCGCTTCTCTCCTCAGCAGTGCGGGGGCGGGGTGTCTCTGAGGTGAAAGCCCCTCGCTGTCCCCAGGCCCTCGGGGCACAACCGCAGTCCCGGGTCCCTCCCTTCCTCGCGCCGGACCAGGCCCGGCCGGGCAGTGAGGGGAGCGGGGCGGCTCCTCACCCCCCGGCGCTGCCTGACGCCTTCGCCTCCGCCCGGGACTGGGAGCGGGGAAAGGCGGGAAAGCGGCGCCGGGGCGGGCAGCGCCCGGTGGGGGCAGGGACCCGCCTCTTTGCCGCAGAGAAAGACACCAGAGGTTTGAAGGTTGTGGAGGGAAAAAAATCCCCCAACAAAAAACGGGAGAAAGATGTCGGGACGGGCTCTGGCTGGCTCCGCTTGCGTGCACAGAAGCGGGAGAAGCCAGGTCCAAAACAGCCCCCAAGGGTGTTGCTTCCCGAGCCGCGGGGCAGGGGGCTGACAGCAGCCTGCACGGCCCCTGCCCCTGCCCCTACCCCGGGGGAGAGCACGGGCAGACCGCCGCCGGCGGGGGCAGATGCTGGCAGGAGCAATGATCCTCAGGGGCCGCTGGGCAGGTCTAGGTCGGAGATGAGGAAAAGCCCTCTCACAAGGCGGCGCTGGACCAGGCACCAGCGCGGGGGGTCCCCAGCATGGCAGGTTTTGTAGACGAAGCTTGGGCTGGGCCGGTACTGCTCTGAGCAGGAGGACGGACCACACCTCTTGGGCACGTCCCCGCGAGGGGCGACCTGTTTCCCCGGGTACCCACAGCAGCGGGTGGCACATCTTCAGAATAAAGTTGGTACTTCTCAAGCACCTGCGTGTAGCCACGTGTGGCACTGGAGACAGGGCAACCCCCGCAGTGCTTCCTGACTAGAAATGTTGCGGCCCTTACCAGGCAGCTGGTTTTAAACTTTGGGTGGAGCAGGAAGGGGGGAAGAAACAACTGACTGCCCCTTCCTGGATCTGCCCCTGGGTTTTTCCCCTTGGATTTCACCTTCCGCAGGAGAAACAAGCCCTGGCAGGACAGCATGGGGCAGGGGGCGCCAGAGAAGTCAGAGCCCTCAGGGGTGGCACCCCCTGACCCATGTGCCTTGAGGTGCCCCACACCAACCCTTGCTTCAAGTGTCATACCCCGTCTCCCCACCCACAAAAGACTACCAATGGTTGACCAAAGAGAAACACTAGAGATGCTCTTTAGCCTCCAAAGACACCCTACTGGACAATGTACCCAAGAATAACAGGCTTCACAATGCACTGAATTAGAAATTAATAAAGGTGAGCAAACAGGATGTTAACCCCATAGCTCCACTGTGCACAAAACCCAGAATTTTATTTCTTCAGATGACTCAGCGCTAAAACATCCCAGGGAAAACCAACAGGAAGAGGAAATACTTTTTGCACAGAGGACTACCGAAACTAAGGCACATAATTAAATCTTAACCTTAACTTACTGCTTAGAGTGGCAGAGGAAAAATGCTGATGATAGCAGAAGTGTCTTATATACGAAGAATGAATGTCATAGATTTCATAGACATTAGGGCTGGAAGGGACCTCGGAAGATCATCGAGTCCAGCCCCCCGCCCAAAGGGCAGGAAGTCAGCTGGGGTCATAGGATCCCAGCAAGATAAGCATCCAGTTTCGTCTTGAAGGTGTTCAATGAAGGCGCTTGAACCACCTCCGGTGGCAGGCTGTTCCAGACCTTGGGGGCTCGGACAGTAAAGAAATTCTTCCTTATGTCCAGCCTGAAACGATCTTGAAGTAGTTTGTGACCATTCGACCTCGTCATCCCTTGGGGCGCTCTGGTGAACAAACGTTCCCCCAGATACTGGTGGTCACCCCTGATAAACTTGTAGGTGGCCATCAGATCACCCCTGAGCCTGCGCTTTTTCAGGCTAAAGACCCCAGAGCTCTCAGCCTGTCATCGTAGGGTCTGCTTCCCTGACCTCTGATCATGCGCGTGGCTCTTCTCTGGACTCTCTCAAGCTTCTCCACATCCTTTTTGAATTGTGGAGCCCAAAACTGGACACAGTACTCCAGCTGCGGCCTCACTAAGGCTGAGTACAGGGGGAGAATGACGTCCCGGGATTTGCTTGAGAAGCATCTATGGATGCAAGCCAGCATTTTGGTCGCTTTACTAGCCGCCGCATCGCATCGCATCGCAGGCTCATGTTCATCTTGTGGTCAATGATGACCCCCAAGTCTCTTTCTTCCATAGTGCTAGCCAACATAGCACTGCCGAGCCTATAAGGATGCTGCGGGTTTTTTTTCCCCCAAGGTGGAGAACCTTGCATTTATCAGCGTTGAACACCATCAGATTCTCGTCCGAATTTATGTTGTGCTTTGCTCTAGGACTGGTTTATAAAGGATACCCTTGCACTAAAGCATCTGTGGTCTTCAAGATTCATAGATGTTAGGGTTGGAAGGGACCTCAGTAGATCATCTTGTAATGTTAAGGTCTTCAAGTCAAACAAATCATGTATTGTTAAGGTCTTCAAGTCAAACAAAATTATATAAGGCTTATTGAAATATATGGATGATTTGGATCATTTTCTGTGGTTGCTAGAGAGAATTTGAAAGAATCTGACATTTCATCTATCCACATCCTCCAAGGAGCATTGAGCAGTTGCACACTCTGCCTGCACATAGCTCCTTGCTACGAAACACGATTTTGGCCACAAACAAAAATTTCCAGTACAAAATTGGCCTAAGACATTTTCACTGGTAGAAATCTTGCCAGTAGAGGGCATTTAGTTTGCAGCTGTCCCTCTCTCCTGCTCTTCATGCTTTCACCAGATCTGGTTGATCCCAGTCTGAAGGCTTAGGGCTCAGTAGTTGCTTTACTCCTATTCTGGGAAGGGGTGGGATGGGGGGACCGGAGCTGCAAGGAATGATTCCCCATGTCTTCTCTAGACAGCGGTCTGTGAAGTGGGTGGGGAGCAGAGCAGAGGGAACAATAGGGCAAAGCCCCCAGCCTGTTCCCTAAGACAGTGCCCAGTTTGGAGAAGAAGCAGGGAGCAAGGTAGCTGCTTCCCTCCAGTCCCAAATGGGTCTGGGAGGTGTGGGAAATGGAGCAGCAAAATAAGTACCCCCCCCCCCCCACCCAAGCCAGGAACTCTGGTCTAGAGAGCAGACTGGGGGCAAAGAGCAGTTACTCTGCTCCCCACCCATTCCCCAGTTTGCAGCGGAAAGGGAGCATCTAAACTCCCCCTCTTTGCTGCCATTGCCAGGAGCATAACAAGGAAGCAGCAGGCAACCCACACTCGCTCCCCAGACCAGAATCCAGACTGGCTCAGAAGAGGACTGGAGCAGCCACCTGGGGAATGTGCAGAGGGTTTTGCCCTGTTGCTCCACTCCCCTCCCAGACCAGACTGGGAGGAGAAT